CACTGCTGCTATTCACATTTATGTACATGGGTGTTTTTTTTTAACTTCCATTTTCAATTGTTTTTCACCTAGAAGTGGCTACTAACCAAAAGGCAGGTGGTTCAGTCTTGGGGTTAGCAATGTCAGTATCAAAGGACTGCATCACCAGAGCTGTTGTTCTTGTTGGGTGCAATGGAGTCAAGTATCTAGCCTCATCATCTCTTTCTTAATCACTTAAGCCCATTGCTACAGCCACTAGTCAATCCACCTGGTTAAGGGTCTGCTCCACTTTCACTGACTTTCCATCTTTTCAAGTGTAATATCCCATTCTAAGGAATAGCCTTTCTCAGCAACAAGGCATGAATATGTGAGGTGAAGTTTCATCATCCTTTCCTTTAAGGAGCACTCTGGCCACACTTTTCCCAAGCTATATCTGCTTTGATTTTTGGTAGCTCATGGAATATTTAGCGCTCTTCTCCAACACCCCAGTTCAAAGGCATCAATTATTCTTCTGTCATCCTTATTCATTGTCTAGTTCTAAGATACATAGCGGGTGATTAAAAAGACTATGGCCTGAATCAGATGTGCCTTAGTCTTCAAACTGACATCATTGTTCCTCAATCATTTGGAGAGGTCCCTAACGCAGGACTTGCCCAATGGCCTGACAGAGGACTTTTCCAATATAATATGTCTGCTAATCTCCTAACTGCTGGTATCAAGGGTGTTGATTATGGATCTAAGTAAGATGAAATTGTTGACAATTTCAGTCTTTTTTCCATCTATCATGATGTTACCTGTATGTTTTCTTGACATTGTGATACAATCCTTGTTGAAGGATATAGTCTTTAATCTTCTGCGGAAAGAGCTTTAAGTTCCCCTCACATCCAGTAAGCAAAGCGTCCCTCATGTGCATAATGAAGGATATGGGTGAGTTTTCCTCCAATATTGATGCCACATTCTTCTTTGTAGAGTCCAGCTTCTTGAATAATTTGCTTAACATACAGATTGAATAGGAATGGGAAAAGGGCACAACCCCTAAGGTTTTCTTCATTTTAAACTGTCTACTTACTGTTCCCTTGAGCTCTGGTGGCCTAGTGGCAAGAAGCTGCACTGCAGTCTTGAAGGCATGCAGTTGAGGACACCAGCTGCTTCACAGGACAAAGT